ATAAATTCATGGAAAGAAAAATCTGACCTGTAGTTAAAAGGCTCAGGAAGTCCTGTAGGTCTCAACTGTTTGAATTTGGAATAGTAAATGGGGAGAAATACCTCTATATATTTCTTTCAACCTCAAAAATTAATGGCTGAGTTTTTTAAACAAAATTAAAAGTAAAATTGTGGATTCATTTAGTTCTCCAGTTATAATCACTCAAATAAGATGAAAAACATTCTTTTCTAATCTGGCACAGGGAAGATATGACACATGATTCATGCTTTTGCGGCCAGTCTTGAAACACTGAGTGTTTTAATACAGGGGTAGAATTTTCACTTTTTAAGGACAGATATCTCTAAAAATGCAGTAAATTCCAAAAAGTTGCTTAAGTCACTTATGCAGAGCACAGAAACATTTGGTAAAGCAATTACATAAATTAACATTTTGTGCATGACGTATTTACAGCACAGCATGTGACTGTACAAAGCAAAAATGTTTATAGGTCTTGGAGTATTTAAAGATGAGAAGCCGTCAATCAATATTAGCCTGTGGGGAAAAATAATTTTATCCAAAGCAAAAACCATAATGTGGATTAGAATGAGTGATTAGTAGACAGGACTCCAAAAAATAAGGGCCTTGGAGACAAAGATGTGAAAAAACAAGACAAACAGGTAAATATTTGTTTTTATAGAATGGGTTTTGGTGGATTTTTAAGTTAATTGCACATCAGTGTAGCTTTGCAGGGCTCATAGTGGCAGGACACTGCCAAAAGCTGGAAAGGGCTTGTCTTTGTGCTGCACATCACGCAGATGTATTCTCCAAAGCCCAGTGATTTGTACCCGTGCCTTGTCCTCCCAAGACCACTCATGTGTTCTATGGTAAACACTCAGCATAAAACAGAAATAAGCCCGAAAGAGGTCCAGAACAGATGATCACAATGACCCCTCCAGCCACTCCAGCTATGTGTTTATAAATCCACAGCAACACACTGAAATATGTCTCTAATAGGGATGTTCTTACAAAGAACTGTCTCTCTGACCAAGGCTCTGCTAGTGTTGCAAGTAAACAACCTCAGGGTTCCTCAGCTGAGCCTTTTCCTTGGCTGTGACCACTCCAGATGTCTATGAAACACAATGAGATACTGGCCAAAATCCTTTGGGCTATTAACAAATGCCATTTCTATTTAGAATCATGTTTTAGAAAGTTTCAAAAATTTCAAATGCCCTCATGCTACAAATAAAACAGCTTCATTCTTGACCTTATTATTTTTCCATTTAACATTTCCAATTCTGTCTCTGACAAATCAACCCAGCTGAACACTGTGGGTAAAATACTGCTGTAAGCCACTTATGTATTACATTTTTTAACTTCGAAAATATAGACAAATTATTTTTTTTTTCCCCCAGTGACTCTAGAAGTAAATAAAACTTGAATGTTTTTTTCTCAAGTTTTTCTTAGCTGTTCAGGTCAGATTTGAAACTACAGGAATACCTGAGGCTGGATTAGACAAGTGAACAAAATTATGACAATAGTTGCTATATAAAGTTTAACCTTTAGAATTCTGAAGTATATAGAAAAAAATAATATATTGAACATTATTTCTAAAGTGTATCTCAACATCCCATCAAAGGAAACAGATCTATGATTTCTGGACTATGGAGGGCAGTAACATTCTCTTTTTTCACCACCTTGAAAGTCTCTGTTGAGGCAAAGCTCTGGATGGACATAGCTCAAAAGGCATAAATTAAAGCAGTGAAGCTGAATAAAATAATTTCCCTCATAATGCAGCTGTTTGTTTCCTATTTTACTTTACTCATGTAGAATAGCTGAGTTCAATATTATGTTTTTGGAAGCTGTAAAATAGCAATGACAGAAGTGAAATACGGTGATTGTGCCAATATGCAGAGACTGATAAATACAAGATAGTTAAATGCTCCCTTCGTGTTTTGGAGTTGTTTAAGATGCAGGTTTCCTTACTTTTATTTCTTTCTCTTCTTCCTTGTGTTGTGTTTTCCCTTTCCTCAGTCCATCCTTCCTCCTTTTCATTTACCTAACCTCCCTCCTATTGTTTTCCCATTGAAAATAACATTCTGACTTCTGGTTTTTCTCATCAACTCCACTAGGAGGATATACCAAAAAAAACCAACAATCCCTATACTTCCTTTGGGAAAGGATTCACCACAAGGGACAGATTTTCACTAATACTCTGACACAAACAAACAGTGACTCTCTGACACTGAACAAACAGTGAGGAAAGGTGCCTCTTGCTTCAAGTCAGTGCACTCAGGCTGCCTGCATGAAAAACGTGGCTCTGAGAGTGGTTCAGCTGTTGTGCATGTACGTGCAGGAGGAAGCATTCATTTGGCAGAGCTGTGGCCTTGTTCCTTCCACAGCCCTCCACACCAATCCACAGAGGTGACTGGTTGCAGAGAAAGAAGCAGACTGAAAGACACATGAACAAGAGGAAGCATCAGGACTGAGACACTGGTGCTCAGTCCCTTGGCTACTTATCTCTCCACACTCCTTTAGTCAAGAGAGTGATCCTGAGCACCCAGTGTTGCAAAGCAGCAACCTGTTTACACCTGTTTGTGTAAAGCAAACAGGTCTGAATACATTCCCTACAAATCCTCAATGCCTTTTCTTTGGGAGAGGGAGACTGTAGTAAAAAAAAACCAGAACAGACTGGGCTAACTAAACCAGATGGCTTCAGTCCACTTTCACTTTGGGGTTTTTTGGGGTTTTTTTCATTTATATTTTCTTAATAAGCAAAAGTTTCTCCTGTGTACTTGTTTGGCACCACAAAGAGGGAAACAAATTCCTTAGATTGCAGTAGCACTGCATATTGTTATTTACAAATGTCCAGTATAAAGATTTTATGACAGGAAATTTGTCTATATTTGGAAGACAGGTGTTTGTTAGGGAGGGCAGGAACCTCCATTGGAATGACCCCCCTCCCTCTGAATTATTATAAATTTGAAATCAAGGGGCTCTCAGGCAGAGATCTGGGGATAGGAATAACAGTTCTTTACTAGTATTTATAACAAGGCAAACAAACAACAATAACTACAGCATTAGCAAGAAAACAGAACCAGGGGCCCCGTGACAGCTTTCTCGGCTGAGACAGGAAGGGATGGAGGAGAGGCTTTGTTTCACAAACCCCTCGGGCAGTCAGTCCCGGTGCTCCTGCAGGGCTCTGAGGAACAGTCGGCTGGAACAGCAGGGATGAGCTGAGATCCTGGGCCGGTGGCTGAGGTGGATCAGCAGCTTTGTGGTGGTGTCTGGCACTGCAGGATGTCCCGGCAGGGCAGGGGGTGCCAGGCCCAGATGAAGAAGCAGCAGCAGCTCCATCCGGGTGATGGCGAATTCCCTTCTCTCCACGGCAACAGCTCCGAGAGAGTCTCTTGCTCTTTAGCTCAATAAACCAGCCAGCCCCCAGCTTCCCTCCTCCTCCCCTTCCCCCCTGGCCCCAGCCAAACTCTTTGTGTTTCTCAAACACACAACAAGTACCATGAGGTTTTCCCAGCAACTAATGGGAAAAAACTCCATAGGTGAGAAGGAACAAAAGGACGGACACACAGCCCCCAACAGAACTCCTGTTTGTGTTTTGAGAGGCAGATTCCAGGATGTCTCTCCAAATCTCTGCTATACTGTAATCCTGTCTGAAATGAGCTTTCTTCACCTTTTCAGCTTAGAAAAATCCCGTAAATTTTCCTGTGACAGTTCAGAGAGATACTAGTAGAGTCCAGTGTTAACTTCCAAATAAAAAGGAAAGCTGTTGGTATGTGCTCTACATTTTTTCATGTAGCAGTTAATAGCTACTAAATTATAAGTAGCCAGGGTGCTAATTTGGTGGCCTAAAATACTTGAAGTTAAAAGGCTAAATATACTTTTAATATATGTCTAATAAAATAGTGCGAACCAGTAAATTGTCTCCTTGTTTTGATGTATTTCTTCAGAAAACAGCCTATCCCAATACTTAGCAGAAGAGATGGTCCTCTGAATTCTTTCAGACTTCACTTGGTCCTCCCAAATCTGCTTTCTTTGCTTGTCTGTATGAAGGATATTTTAACCATTTGAGCCATAGATGGCTCAAAATGACATTATTTCACATCAGAGGGGGACATCCTCATTCTGGTCCAAATTTCTTCATAATTTTAAACATTTCTGTAGATTCTTCAATACCATGCTTCAGATTGCAAGCAAAGAGGTAAAGTAATACGGTGTATCTTTGCTGTATTTAATTCTTTAACTGTATGTTTTTGAAGCCTTTGTCAAGTGTACTTACCTCAGAACTTTGCTGGCCATGGCATGCTCATTTAAAGAATAACTACAGCAGTCTTATTTTTCCATAGTCTCCTGTGTGTGTGTGTGGTGTGTTAATTAGCTACTGGTTACCTGGTGTGTGCCAGCCTGGCTTTAGTGTGCCTGTGGTGTCTGAAGCTGGGAATATTCCAATTGCAGCAGCAGCCACAGCTGCAATTTTGGTTTCGGTTAGCGCCAAGTCACTTTGTTTTAATGATCCATATGGCTTGGGAGAACAGCAATATTTCCACACAAGACACATCACCCTTAACTAAATGGAGAGCTACCATACTCTGGGGCTGCTACAGACAGAAACTAGGGGAGGGGAGCTGAAGAAAACAGTGCTATTTGGGAAAAAAAAAACAACAAAAGAAAAACAAAAGAAGTGTGTTTTATTATCTGGAGTGCTGTAACTACTAAACACCTTTGTGTGGAAAGAAAGTGGCATTATTCCCATATTACAGTGAGGTCGAGTCTACACAGGGATGTTATGCAGTTGTGCTGTTAGCCAGTAAGTACACTGCTGTATTTAAATAGCTGTAATTATGCTGGTAGAATTGCCTAGATGAGACTCTCCTGAGTTGAAACATG